AGACCATTAGGTCTCAGATGTAATTTCAGGATTTAGTTGCAAGTGACCGGCTAGATCGCGGCACTTCTGCTGCTTTACCAGATTCATTGTTCTAGTCCCGTATTTTCCGTAATTCGCAGTTTTCTTGCTATGTGTCATACAGTATGCCTCTTGTTTTGCCCTCCATTGTTTTGCTTTTGCCCATCAACCTCAGGTAATAACTGTCTGAACCCGCTTCAACTCGATGTTTTCTCCAAAAGTGATGAAAGCAGTAGTAACTATGCTTCACTGCACGTGCTGGTCTGGGATGATCACGTCTACATAGGATAATGCTTACTGTCTTTTTTCTGCGCGATTCCTATTGCTCAAAAATTCCGCCAGTAACAATTTATTCTGAATATAACAGTATTCTACCCACTAGTTGCGAATAAACACTATTACATGCATGAAGGGCTACGTAGTGAACAATGCATACCGTAGACGCACAATATCCTCGGCTGGTGTGGTGAACGGCTGGTGTCCTAAATGTTACTACATAGCCTGCCTCCTCATTCTCACTATGGTTTTTCATTCAAACCGCGTTTTTATTCTCTGAGGACTAACTTGAATGTAAACTTTGGGGAACAACGCTTACGTGCAGCTTCTTCCATCGCGCTAATTAAGTAAAAAATTCACATCTAGGGGTTCAGCATATTCCTCGATTCGCTATTTTCAAGTGCGGAGATGACATACGTGCTCTGATATGCTCAGAACATAGGCGAAACAGAAGCCATTTTCTTTAGGTTGTTTGAAGAAATATTTTCAAAGTTTTTCACCATCGAAGGCCGTGAAAGCGTGTGTGATGTGCTAATCAGAGTGAGAAAATTGCGCACCAACCAAGTTTGATAGCGCGATTTTACATGACGGAGGACTTTGCTGGAAGTGGAACGTTACATCAATCGTCGCCGGAGCGGATACCACTCAAGATACGATCCCATTTCTGCTGTCTGTCTACAGAGTGAAATGACTGCATGATCGTCTTGAGGCCACTTTAGATGCAGGTGAATAGTCCGGTTGCCAAGGTTATAAATATTGCTTCATTCGTAATCACCACGCAGAAGCGACATAGATGCGAGATGAGGCCTAGTTATGTATCGGTGTGGGTCTCAATAAGACTGCTTTCCAACGTCGACTCTAATGAACAGATTTTCCCCGTCTTGAGATGCATTGGAAATTTCTGTGGTGGAAAAGGCAGACTGGGGCTATAGATATGCAGGCGCCGTTGTATCCGTCGTAGGGGACGGAAGAGATCAGCAAAATATGAAAGTGTTAGACAGCTATTATTTTACACTGGGAGCTGGGGGGCAAGTTTTGCTTTTTAACTGGGTAGTGAAATCGCCCTCGAATAACGGGTGATTGCTTGATGTATCATTCTTAAACAGCTTTCCAAGGTATTCGGAAGATCCTCGAACGACTGTTCACCAGAGCTGGGCTGCAAACTGGGAGTGGTTGAATCTTTATCGAAGGATATATCCTGTGGAAACCAGCAAACCACGGAACCCTTAGCCTAGCGTAGGAATCGAAAAGGGGTGGAAAGCCTCATCAAGATTAATCTGGGCACAATTTCAAAACTAGCGATCTTTGGTCGGCTGAGTACTATGGCTATGAAAAAATAAATATTGTATTTCAAACCATACGTTGGCTGATGAGCGGGACAGCCCTCCTCATGCATGTTGAACGGTACATTGATTCCACTTGCGTTTGTGTTTGATCCGCGCAGCTGAATTCTCCGGTATATGGCATTGTACGGAGTGAATCTGAGGGCTCTCATGCGTTAAACACCATAGATAGGAGTTATTGGTGCATTCTGTGATCCGGCTACATTGGCAGGGTTTTTCATGGATGACAACTTGATTACAAATGGTCCACTGGCTGAATCAGAACATCTTAGCCTCCTGCTTGCCAACATCCGGGCTGTGTTCGGTGGTCAGTAATGACACCGACGTGGGATCGCTTCAGGCAACCCCGACGAATGGCCCGAGCGATGATATTTGTCATTATTTACGATAATTGCTGCGCTCTGGCGAGTCACCTTTCCCAATCTCTCTAGGGGGGTGCAAGGTGACGCTTTGGAATATATGTAGTTCAGGGGAGCTGGCTGGTAATTCGTATGCTCGTCAGCAGTGGCACCTGGATTGTAACTCCCTCATCACCAATCGGGGTGACATCCAAAATGTTGGGTTGATTGGATAACTCGCATACCCTCAGAATCTACAAGCGTGCGGTCCTTTGGTTCGTAGGCCATGGTAAACCAGGTCACCGTCGATGGCTTTACTGTTCGATGTTTATGTAAAGCGTTCCACCTTGGTAAGTTGCCGTTCTTGTGTTGTCCCCTCATCAATGAGTGTTTGGGGGTTGCCGCCATAGAATTATTGTTTTCCTCTGTCGTGATGAGGTAAAACGCGTGACATTTCAGCTAGCACTCCTGTTTTCACGTATTCCGGCAGCCAGTTTGCTTCAACCATGGCCAACGTGGTGCTCGTCGCAGTTCTCACATTTAATCGCGTAGATCGCGTTCATTTGTCCTGCGCCAAGTATTCGGTTTGACGCACAAAGCTTAAAACACGTAGGAAGCCTTAAGGTCCCCGTCGTTTCACATTACCATAGATATCTTGCAGTGATTTCGCAATGTTTTTGGTGTGTGGAAGTATAACCTAACTCTACTTTGGTTGTGTTGACAAATCAGCCTAGGGATGGTTTCGCAACATCGCCGTATGGAATATCTGTGGTACCAATTATTTTGAAATATCTGATAGTGACACCGCTTCATTAGTCTTTTACAATGGTATGCTGCAATGCATCTCCACCTGTTTGAGAAAGGTTGAAACAAAACTCCTTTTGTGGCGATTTGGGTGGTTCCTGAAACAGTTAACGATCGGGTCCAGGTGTGTTTATCACCCGTATATTATCGTTAGCTGTCATTGTGACGAGCACATCCGGAAACAAAAATTAGTTCTCCTCTCCTTCTCCAATGCAGTGCTGATGTCGGAAAAATGTTGAGCATTTGGCTCGTTCGTTCTGTTGTGTTTGAAATGTCACGCGTGACATTTGTATATCGCACCTATATTTCGGTCAAACATCCGACAGCACATCCTGCTCCAGTTTTTAAATGGTATGTCCCTCGATGAATCCGGTGACTTGGATTCGATTGACACTTGCATCGAACACAGAGTACGTCGTCGAGTACAGATCCAATATTGCGTAGAATTCATCTCTCAAGTGTCATATTTGTGGTCCTCTGACCATTCACAATTTTTGCAAATGCCATGCTTGCCTAATTCAACCCAACCAAGCTGACCAGACAGGTTACATCACTGCACACAATTAATTTGCCATCCTCGATTTTCACATTTTTCCTTCTCTCCAGAGATTATTTCCTTCTGTCGACTGATGGTCAAGATTCAATAATGAGACACCCCATCTGCTTCTATGGTTTTCCTGAACTACTGTGGGTGGGCGTTCCTTGTGAGCGTGAAGGTGTCGTTGTTTGCAAGGCTTTGGAAGTCTGTAAAATTGGCTAAGTGCGAAATGACTTCAACCTTAAGCACTCTTCTTCCACGTCTTTATGAACGTTCTTTGGCTGCTTCAGTACTTTTATTTTCAAGGATTCACAAATACACGGACTGATACAGAGGATGGAGGGTTTTGCCCAAGTTTTCTGGGTAGGTTTTTTCATGTCGTTCAATGGCTGTCGTTAACCTTAAAGGCGCAAGCGAAAAAAGGATGAAAAACCGCTCTTTAGGTTTCTGGAACGGGGCAGTATGCTTGACAGCGNGGTTAACCTAAAAGGCGCAAGGAAAGAAAGGATGAAAACCCGCTCTTTAGGTTTGCTGGAACGGGCAGTATGCTTGACAGCGCGAGGACTTGCATAAATAAGTGTGCAATAATGGTTTGAACTGGGCTCTTGAAGGGGCGTGGATAAAGTCGATGAAGTTTACTCCACGCAGCTGATACCCGAAATGTTTCGGTGTTTTTCGCAGTTTGGTCCGTCTGCAAGTGGCAGTACGTTTTTGTGTCGCCGAGGAGTTCGTTAGCTCTGTCGCTGTTTTCTGCATTTTCCGGAACGACTGTCATTTTTCTTAGGGGCTGGAAAAATAACAACAGATTTGTTCACTCCGAGGCTACTTATTGCCTTTTTCTCTTCAGTAGATGGGGCATTGTGTCTTAGTCCACGTGACAGCTGGGACGACGATTTGACTTATCCCCGCACTTACAGTGTCGCCTCAGGTGCTGGTGAGAAGTCTGCAATCCAAATTACAGGCTCATGGAGCAGACCAACTACCCTAAGTTACAAGCAGATACGGGTTGAGCTATTCCATCACCGCGTTCTTCAGGGTATTTTGGGCATGGATTTATTCACATTTGGAGGTAGGAGCCACAAAAACCGAGAAGGATATTTTGAAGTTCGACAAGCAAATGAGAACCGGGACTACGGGGAAACATCACATCTGCGTTGCATGAAATCTCGCCATTGATGATACGGCGCAGTTCTCCATGCTAGTTGAGCGAAGAGTGATGGATATTTTAGGGGATACCACATGTCCGAATGGTTGCCTGGCTAACGTGGCTAACTTTCTCGGGAAGATTGTATAAAGATGATTTTAATGCCGCGAACAAACGGTAATAGATCATTAGTGAATATCTATTTTTGGACACATTTTCGGCATATCCACATCCACTCTTGATATGAGGAAAATGCCTGGCGTCAATTGAACACTGGCTTGAAAGGTAAGAATATCCTTCGTTTGTATCGGATGTTGATAATGTTTCAACGCCATGATCGACAGTATAAGTGCCGGCTTGGTACACCTGTATGAACGTGCACAAGCCTGCGTGGGCTACTTACTGTCGCTTGGGTGAATGTTGGTTTCACGCCAAGTGCCCCTGTATGCTGTCTCGACCACAAAAATGCTGTAGCGGTCTGCAACAAACTGTTTGGAGGTCCAGCCTCATGGTTACGACAGCCACAGACCATGCACAATGGGTACGTTAGCCTCAACTCCATTGATGCCAATCACCGTAAGTTTATATAGCGGGCAAGTCAGTGCCAGCATTGGGGATGTCGACACAATTGACTAGTTCATACTTGATCACTCTAGTTACCTAATGGATGATAAATTCACGCAACTGTTGATTATGTGCGATGGATTTTGTCCATGAATAGCACTATCTGCTCGACTGTGCCATGTCCGCTAATTTCATAGACAGTTGATGAACTGGGAACGCAGTCCCCATCCGGGAAGGAGAAAGCTAAAATTATAATGTCTGATCATAGACCACCTAACAGTTGGTAGTCTTCATTGGACAAGATGAATGCTGAAGTGGACGTACCTCTTCGAAGTAGGTGCCATGATCAGGGTTAACTGGGAGAAACATCCTCTCCTGAAGCCACATAGTTTACCTCGACATTGCCAATCCGGTGTTCCCAACCTGTCTGACGCTTTAGATTTGCTGAAGGCCCCCAGGACTGAGACCAGTGGACTTTGTTAGTTTCTGCAATGACCGAGGATGCGTCGACCTTGCCTTCACCGAGGCAGGTGTTCAAGAGGTGTCACTCATTTTAACGTCAAATCCTAGGCTTTCTTCGTCTCCTTTTTCAGCGGTTGCTTGGGCCTCTGTAGAGCGTCAATGACACTGATAGCGCTCGGGACTACTTTAGACGAAGCTTGGCAGGCGCACAAGTGTATACTTTGAGCTGCCGACCCATCAAACTCAGAGGTATTTCACCATTCCTCATCAGCTAGTCAGAGCGTTACTGCCCCTCGGAAGCTATGGGAACTGAGCTTTTACCGGGGTGCTTCCTCACACAGATGAGGTATGCGAACTATAATAACTTCTTTGATTCGAATCCAGACGCAGATAATTTCGAATACTGTAAAAAAAACTCTGCCGCAGTTTTCGTCGTATGCTTCACACACACAAATTTTAAGGTGCTGCTGCAAGAATGTGGGATCGAACCAAAATACCACGTTTTCGGACAAGCTAATCACTGTGGGGAGCAAGGTTTCTTACTCCGCGAGTTCTTAAGTTCCGGATTCCGCCGCGCATCAGAGATGAAATTCAGGACAGTATTATCCAAACTCCAAAATCTGCTCTCGCCTGACGTGAGTTTGTCCTTCATGAGCAGAGGACAATTCTCCGGGTTGATCCGTACTGCCTTGCTGACCATAGTCATAACCCCAACGTGAGACTTTTGGCGTTTGACTATCACCGCCTACAGAACATCGATAACCCGGAACACAACACTGAGACCGCTTAGCGCTGGCGGTTGACCAATGCAGCAGCCATAACCCCAACTTGCACATGATTGGTCAAAAGAGGGGATACTGGCTAATGGCTCGTCGAACCTGGTTCCTAGTTCCCAGATGTTCTCGTTGCATGGACTTCCTCCACGACAAGCGTTGCTTAGGGTTTAGGGTGCGCTTTTGGACAAGCACAGGCTCCGTTTCCCGCTCTCCGTAAATCATTTCCGCTCGACGACTTCCATGGAAGAATATGGGTAATAACGTCGTGTCCGCAGCGGCATATGCAGTGAAAAATAACCGAGCTTTCCGGCTATATGACGGTTATATAACCGTCTAATAACCACCTTTCATGGTTAGCAGATGGAATAATATCACTATTACCACAACTTTTCGATTTTTCATTCATGTGACCCATGAGCAGTTCATGAAAGGCTTCGTAGAAATTTAATGATAAATATGTCCGTTCTTTGGTTTACACGCACTGCAACAGTGTTTTTCACTATTTGTCCCAGTTGCACTCCGCCTTTGCCTAAAGTTGAACTTTTTTAAGATGTAATCTTTGGCGACTTACGCGGTTTCCAGATGTGTATGATGCGAGCGTTGTTGACACAAACAAAGGTAACTAATGCGCTATCCAGCGACTATGTGTAACTACGCCGTCACAAATGAGGTATTTATCGTGCATGTCCAATTTGTATGGGACGAACCAAGAAGAGGTTGTTTACGAGGTTGTGGTAATAGCATCAGGCGTTTCCCGGTTACTGGTCCGTTAAGTACATCCACTCAAGGAAGCATCGTCTTCCGCGCCAATTGGCTTAAGCTACTGTTGGCTAAAGATTCACCATGCATAGGCTGCAACATGACAAGGTCAGACGAAAGGGGCTTGTGCTTAGGTGAACAACGGGGGAACTCCTTGGTCCCTTGGTAGCCACACGGATCAACAGAAGGTGAATGTGTGGGAATCATCCGATTTGGTAATCTTTTTTTGGAACGAATTGTGTGCTCCAAAAACTAACTGTCAAACTACCTTACATGGTCAGTTTGATAATGCTTCATCGTGGGCGTGCGTGGGTCAGTTTGATCCGGAGTTGTCAACCGTTGAGCCACGCGAAGCACATTGTCGCTTCCCAACTTTCTCGCTCGTCACATTAGTAAGAGGTCTGCATCTCATGCTCGCACATGTGTCATCCTTTGTGCCGCGAGACCCCTTGGATCGCACGTTCAAGATCGTCGGCTGATATACACGCATTTTCTAAATCCCGTTGACTTTCTCAAGACGGTTATTGGTTACGTTTCCAAACTGAACCGACCCGCTCCGTGCATGAACAGTCCACTCGCGAGCAATCAGTGAGCACGCAGATGTGAGACGAACCGTTGATTGGTTCTCCACGGTGCACTCAAATCACAGAATCTACTCGAGTGTGATCCGATGAATAGGAGCTTCGTCAGCCGCGTTATCAAAGCAAGTCATATGGCGGAATGTGTCGGCTGCGATCAATGGTAATGTGCTAGAAAAATTGACTGCACACGTCTTATAGTCAATAGACTTGCACGAAAGAAACAGCAGCCAAACACGGCATTGACGGCTCCGCATTCGTGATGTCATTTTATCCATCACGAGTGTTTTGATACAGTATTGCTTTCTCACCACCTCTAAACAAGTTGAACAGCTTACAAAGAGGCGCAGAATAGTTGCTTTCAAAGAGGGGACATCCGACCGGTCTTCCGATCAACATGCCATCCAACACAGGGAAGGTGCGCTACATGTACATATATATCTGACGTCAGCTTTCCTAAATTAATTTAACCAAGACTATTGCTATGCGTGACGTAACGGTGATGTGATGGGCGTTGAGACGATTTGGTCTCAGATTACGTCCGATAACCCCATTTGGACAATTCTTCGGCAGCCACGATCAATCGTTGGACGATGCAAGCGTGTGCTTGAAAGGCTGGTCTTTCCCAGGTGGCATCGTCTCTTCTATGAATGTGAACACGTTCGCAGTCTCTAGGCCACAGCTTACTGCTTTCATGATCCCATCACAGGAAACTGTGCTAGCTGGGTGATTTAGGAGCTCGATGGAATTTACTCCATCACGTTTGGTAGTCTGGTGCTTGAGCGAGAAAACCTCGAGAAAAGAGACAAAAGACATCGGATTAATTTCGGCTGTATAGCAGATGAACTAATGGAAAAAAGAACGCTGAGGCTCAGTTGACTATAACAGAGTGCAAATGAAATCTCAGTGAAGTATTACAAAAGGTAGAATTGTTTGTTAGGACCTGATCGTCCTAACAGGGACAGTACACTTTTTAATTCCTGCCTCGTCTTACATTGATTCGTTGTACGCTGGAGACACTTCGGAGACGCCGATGGTCAAACACTGACAGCCTTCGTACATCCTCTGCGCGGGGCGAGATGGCTCAAGTGGTTAGAGCGCGAATTTACTGAACGGAAGGTCCGTGGTTCGAACCCGACCTCTGCCTCTCGACTTCCCCTGTCCAGGCTTGGGCGACCTGGCAGTATCCCAGCCCTGGTGAATCCTTCGTGTGGCATGGCAGCTAGGCACCGACAGGGTGCTACAGCTGAACGATACAGCTACGTCACCATGTATATAGCAACACCTCTACAGAATGGTACAGTGATGAGAGGTTGTTGCACACTAGGTCCCTTTCGAGTGGCATTGCAGCTGGACCCAAAAACAGTGTTTCAGCTTACTGGGTTATCTGCGCGTACAAGCCAGGTTTCTAATCCTTACTGTGGCATACCTCGCACCGATGCTGTGTTTACCCTACCCTTAGTGGTTAAACTTACATCGCGCCGGCGTCATAGGTGCTTGGGCCTGGCGAACGCCACCCTGGCCTCTGAGTGAGATGTAATCTCCTTTCTAGCTGGTTCGCTGGTGCGTTCGCCCCGGCCACGTTTAACTATTCGTGTTTCCCCCTCTACTGTTCGATTATCATCATCATCATCGGCCGCACGAAATAAGTGTTCAACCCGGATGCCTCGGTGCTGCTCAACCATGATTTATTTGAATGGTTTATTGAGCCTACACCTCCCGATATTAATTCCAGTAATCTGGGTGGAAACTGGCAGCAAGACTGCCATTAACATCCATTAGAATCGAGATGGGCGACATAGTCTATCTTGGCTACACACACGAAACATTTACACCGCCCATGTGCGTGGTGATTATAATCAGATAGCCGTTCAATCAAGATGCTAATGTTCTTCGCGGCGCCTGACTGATGCATTGTCTTCCTCTGAAGCTCCTACACCAACGTCTTGAATGAGCGTTACTGGACCGCATCGAAAACTGTCCGTGATGACTTCCAAACCAGATTTTTGCCTGGGAAACCTCCGATACATAATAAGTCCATTTGCACGAAGCCTAACATAAAACCACTTTTCTTACACGGGCTAGAAGCAAAGTCACACCCCTCAGCTAAGGTTTTGGTAACCGTCTACTCGCAGCCCGGCCATTCCTGTTCAGTTTCCCTTACAGTTACACAACCAGGTATGGCTTTAGCGATGCACCACTTGGCTAATACACGTCTCTCACATTCAACTATGGCTACACGTGTTTGAATCGACCGCATACCACCATTTTAGTTAACTCCACGTGAATAAGGAGATATTCGTTTTTAAATCCGGTGCTTTCGTTTCACCACAGTAGTTACAGTTTATAGGCATTCTTGGCGGCTTGCCATTTCTGGTGGCACCAGTGCCTCCAGTAAATTTTTACGACACTGTTTCCATTTGGAGTTTTCAAACCA